TTTTTTTTTACCTTCGCTGTGGCTTCCTATATGTCCCAATCCCATAAGCGCTGCTTTGACGTTCAAGGGATTCTGTTCATCAGATAAATTGCTAATGAGGGTTTCAATGACATTCATTTCACGCAAGAGACTTCTACCGAATTCGTGAGTGCACAGCAAAGAGAACAGATGAGGTGGAGCAGGGAAACCGACACTCTCCGGCCTTCAAATTTTTCGTTACGAGAGGTGAGTATTTAATGGGAAGAAACTGTAAACTTGCAAAAGATCCATTTTATCGTTCGGACAACAAGGATTTTTAACACATACCGTTCTGCACTTGTTCTTGAGAACGTTCCACTGAGAGTTCTTCGAATGCAAAGTAGCGCATCTCTCATTTCGTCATCGATCATTTCAACATAACGTATGCCGAAAGTCTGAAAAGTTCAATCTCCGGCGCATCTTAACGTACGTACATACATTTGAATACCTCCAACCAGAATGTTATGGCCTCTCGAGTTGCAGCCTCATCCTGTTCACATGAGCTTTCGTCTGCATAGATGTGCACTTTCAAAAGTGTGCCTGCTTCGCCGAAACTATCCAGCTGTGCTGTGCGCAACCAACGAGCAGCATCTTTATAGAACTAGAAAAAACTAACAATTTTGCTGGATGCAAAATGCAGAGGATAATATTGGAGGAACTTTGCTTCCACCACATCGCCAATAACAAAGTTACGTAAAAAAAACCCACCGGTAGCCATTTATGCAAGATATTAATTGCGTGACGAACCACCTTCACCGATTGGTCACCTAATTGTCCCAAAAGAAGACGAAAACCCCACTCGCCGAAGTTCGGAAATCGGCGATAGGCTAATGCGGACAGGAAGCGTGTACACCATCGCCTAGCCGGCTGAAAATACAAGCTCAGATACTAACAGAACATAACATCTGAGTATAAAGTCAAAGATCTGTAGTTGTTCTCCTTCTATCTGCTAATGTCATTTGAGAATTGCAACGGATCAGTGTAAATTTAAGTATACAGAGCAGCCCAAAAAATGTGATCACATTTCAACTTCCAAAATCCCCCTTAATCATAAATTTTTCCCATGCTAATTTCGAAGGGCTGACTTGAGCTTAGACTTCTATAAATCGGCTAGGTAATTCAAATATTGTAGGATTAAAGTTTGAAATCGTGGATAGCCTAAGGGCTGTCGATAAGTGCTTCGTAAGTTTGATACAAGAGGTTGCAGTGATAATGGTTAACATACTAAATCAGTATACTGCATAACTTTACTAGA